ATTCCTGTTCCATGTTGTTTGCTGAGGCCTCTCCTTCTTTGCCTGTCTGCACAATGGTGTGAAGACAATACCTCATAAATGACTCAACTCCCTCTTCTTACTAGATCTGAGGCACCAGATCCTAATGGTTTAAGGTTTTCCTTTAGCCCCCTAAGCTTCACTTTGAGAAGAAGCTACCATTCTTGTGAGGATACAGAAAGGGAAGTAGCTACTTCCCACGGAACAATGGTGGTGTCATAACTCCTCTGTAATTGCTGTTATCTTTGACACTGTCTTATTTCTTTATTTGCTTCTTTCACGTTGTATTGGTGTAATGGCACATATACAGACAGGGTGACTTCAAACAGATAAGCTGAAATGCACACAAAATGCTAAAACCATAATATACATAATTCCTTCAAAATCCATAATGACAAAAGACAACAGGGAAAGGATGAGATTAAAACAAAGCAATTCTGATAGTCCAAATGGCAAACATCAAAACACACCAGGTTGTAATCGTACTGCACTGGTGGCAGCATCACCACTAAGCTGTAAAGGGAGACCAGAACGCTGATCCCAGGTTTAATTACTTAGCATGGATAGAAAGCATAAAGGTATTTAATAGAAAATGTTACTAACAGGCCATAAGGACACAAGTGCTTCAGACCATTTTTGAAACTGTCCTGGGTTCAGCTACAGCAGTCATTTTTTCTCCTTCTTAGTAGCTGGTGCAGTGCTGTGTTTTTGACTTTCAGTCTGGGAACAACACTGATAACACCGATGTTTTTAGTTGTTGCTAAGTAATGTTTACTCCGGGCAAGGACTTTCTCAGTCTCATGCTTTGCCAGAGAGGAGGGGAAGCCAGGAGGAAGCAGAGACAGGACACCTGACCCAAACTGGCCAAAGGGGTATTCCATACCACAGCACGTCATGCCCAGTATATAAACTGGGGGAGTTACCCGGAAGGCCCAGATCGCTGCTCGGGTCGGGCTGGGTATCGGTCGGCGGGGGGTGAGCAGCTGTGTCCTCTCCCCTTGTTATTCCTCTTATCATTATTATTGGTAGCAGTAGTGGTTTGTATTATTCCTTAGTTACTGGAGAGCTGTTATCCCAAACCGCGGGAGTTACATTCCTCTGATTCTCCTCCCCATCCCTCCAGGAGTGGGGGGAGGAGGGAAAAGGGGGGGAGTGAGCGAGTGCTGCGTGGTTCCAAGTTGCCGGCTGGGCGGCTTGAACCACGACAGAAACAATGTCAATACTCAGAATTTCTTACAATCAACTGACCTCAAAACCCAAGCTTTTAAATGAAAATAGCACAGAGGCAATATTGTTTCTTTGGGTGAGCTGTTGACAAAAAAATATACTTGAGAACTTCTTTCCAGTGATAAAGGCTCAAATCAAATCTAGAACTAAAATCAGGTTTTGACCAATAAGATGGAACTAAAACCACAGGAAACAAAGTTGAAATGAGGTGCAAAAAAAAAAAAAAAATAAGAATTTTCAGCAGCATTTTATGTTGAAAGATGTATGTTATGTTCTGTCATGTCATGTC